CCCCCCCCCCCCAAGTTAAATTGCTTTTAACCCCTTCTTATTTGTGTACTGGGTTGAGCTCAGATAATATACTTGCCTGCCCAGTGAATCCAGTATTATCCTCCTGTGATTTGCTGCATGCCATGTCCTATGCTGCCATCTTGGAAAGTTCTGGCATGTGTGGACATGGATTACAGCTGGGTACTATGAACCTGCCAGATATTGTTAGCATGTCTATGCATGCTATGGATCTGCTGCACATGTGCAAATTGCTATTTATCCTGACAGAGACCCATAGTGGTTGGTGTGTGTGGGTATCTTGTCTAATCTTTGGGATCTGGTAGAGGACTGTGGTCTGTGTGTGGACATGCTGTCAGTCCCTATCAGAGACCTGTGCTGTCTGTGTAAAATCAGATAATCTGTCTCTTGAGATGTGTTGTGTAGATGGTGAAGACTAAGTACATTTTAAAAAGACAATTTTGCAAATTTGGAGCCCAGTTGTCCATGGTAACCCATCTAGCTTTTTCATTTTATTTTTTTTAAAGCTTACCTGAAGAGAGAAACCGATTGCCATGGGAAACTGCTCCCAGATTCTGTCTAATCCAGTATTGATAAACCTCCCTCCCACCAGTCTATTTCCACTTTGCAGCCTGATTGGGATAACACCACCTTTTACCTGTGATGTGTTCCCATTCACATAGTATATAGCATGTAATATGCAAGCTAGGTTTTTTACTAAAAGGAAAGCCTTTTTTTGGTGAGGGAGGCTAGGCAGGTTAATGTTAGCATAGCTTAACCTTGTCCTAACAAAGGGTAAGTCCTTTTTCATCCCAAGTTTCACCCATTTTTATGCTGTAATATGAAACCTGGTCACAGGATCTGTGAATGGAGGGACACAGCAGCAGAGGGACTTGTAGTCTTCATGGAGTACAAGTGTGGCTATGTCCCCATGCTTGTACTCCATTCATATTTCCTGTCACTTAGCTGAAAGTCCATACCTCAGTGCAGGCAGGGGCTTGGGAGGGAGTCTGCAGTAGCTAAAGCATTGCACCTGTGATCCAATGCTCTGTAGGCTCAAATGTGTTCATTTGAATAGTTAACTTGGAGGAGCTTGCAAAGGCTTACTATAGATGCATCTAAAAGGTACAACATTTGTTTTTACAACTTTTTTTTTTTACATGTGATGTGTGAATAGGAACACTTAATCATAGTGAGGGTTTTCTCAAATGTGCCTGCAAAAGTGGAAATGTGCTTTTTGAAATCTAAAGACTGCAGTTGGTCAACACAATTCAGTGCATAGGCCTTCCAGGTTTGCAGAAAATTGAATGGCACCACATGGTTCCTGCAAGGTAGTATTATGAGAATTGCTTATGCAGCCTGGTTGCATGGAATGTTCTGTGAAAAGGTTATTAGATTCTGTTAATTCTTATGAAAACTATGCTTGTGAAACCAGTCCTAACTTCTTGCAATTGCATCACAGTTCTAAATAAAGTGCAGCATGGCAACTGTGATATTTGTCGACCAAGAAAATGGAGACTTTGCTTCTACCACCCTGTTCAAGGATCTTGAACAAGCTAACTCTGGTGAGTAGTCTGATGGCCAATGACAGTAGTGGCGAACCTTTTTGAGCCAGAGTGCCCAAACTGGATCACTAAACCAACTTGTGTATCTCAAAGTGCCAACCCTTCAATTAGACCTGAATACTCTCAGGGGGGCTCTGCAGTTCTGACGTGGTCTGTACGGGCTCTGAGGGCTGTGGGGTTTCTGGTGGTCTGTACAGGCTCTCGGGGGAGCTGTGCAGCTCTCGGATGGTCTATTATGGCTTTTGGGTGGGCTCTGTTGTCCCTCTGGTGGTATATGTGGGCTCTCAGGGGGGTAGTGTGGCTCTCGGGTGGTCTATAAGGGCTTTCAGGTGGTTATATGGGCTCTCTGTGGGGCTATTCTGCATTGCTGTATAATTATCATACAGCAATGCAGAATACCACCAGCTATGCGGGACTACAAGTCCCAGCAATACATTATAATGAGTCTGCACTACACAACAGAGGCATAACTAGAAACCTAGTCTTCCCCGCAGCAATAATAATTTATTATTGCTGCAGGGAAGGGGGGCAATTATTATCGCTGCCTGGGGAAGAATTGTTTTTAGGCAGGAGTTAATTTAAAAAAAAACCCCCATGCAGCAATAATCACCCCCTTACCGGCAGCAATAATAAATTATCCTTGGGGTAGATTAATACTGCAGCCGGGACAGAAATTACTATTGGTTATTACCGTATTTGATGGCGTATAAGACGACCCCCCAACTTTTTGTGTAAAAAAAAATATAGGTTTTGGGCTATACTCGTCATATATAAGACGAGTATAGCCCAAAATAATGTTTAAATGCACCCACTAACATCCATGGCGGTATTCCAGAGTGTGGCTCGGGGTTAATTTTCAGTACCATAAGCAGTAACCCCGAGCCACAATCGGGAATACAGTCTCTTACCTTGTCCACGATCCCCGCTGTGTCCTCCGTCTTCCGCTGAGTCAATCACGGCAGGCTTTCTATTCATTAATACAGGCTTTGTATTAATGAATAGAAAGCCTACCGTGATTGGCTCAGCGCTGAGTCAATCACGGCAGGCTTGTATTAATGAATAGAAAGCCTGCCGTGATTGGCTCAGCGCTGAGTTGGGTTGGGTGCTGATGCTTTGTGGGATGGGTGTTGGAGCCGTGCTGTCGGTCCCACCCAGCTCACTGACATCACTGGTTGCCTGGAGATCGGTGAAATGCCTGCCACAGTGTACCACTCGGCTCCAGCTGGAGTTTGCCCGCCCTTGCTTAACAGTCACTTTAAGTAGTCTGTAGCAGAAGGTCAAGTGCAGATTTTGTTTAACTATTTTCTTTTATCCCCCACACGCGTAAAGCAAAACACCTTTTCAAAAGTAATCTAGGAAAAGTGTTTGGCAGCTCTGGAACTGTGGTGAAGCCAAGAAAAGCACTGGGAAATATCAACAAGCAAGTTGCCCAAACAGCTGCTCCATTCCAGAAAGGTGCCCTTAAAGTGAAGACATCTGCACCAGTTACCAAGCAGGTACTATTGTCCTGTGAATCACTGGACCAATCTATTGAGCCAAAATTTACTGGAGCCACTTTAAAGCTGGCCATATGCCCATCGATGTTTTTTATTTTTTTTAATAGGTTTGTTTTTTTTGTTTTTCCTTCTATCGGCCTATGGTCAGATGGAAAGTGCAACAGATTCCTCCATCTAAATTAAACTGTGTGGATGGAGGAATCTTGTGCTGGGCCAAGCTTCCGTATCTTGCTGACTAGCAAGATACTGAAGCTTGGCCCAGTACAGTATAGAGGGGCATATTGCCAGGTATATGCTGAGTGCAGCAGCCAGGACGTATCCCAACGATACTGTAGAGTTTTACAGATGCACCTAAAGGTAGTAATTTTGGGATCTCTACATATGCTGTGAATAGGAACATAAACCTAGTGGACTGTGTGGGGGGGTTTTTGTTTTGTTTTTTCAAAATTTGACTGCAAAAGTATAACTTCACTTTCCAAGGGCCGGACCTGCAAAAGTTGGGTATTAAAGCATATCTAAACAAACAAGAATGTCATATATTGCAGGCTACCAGTCCTTGGTCTGAAACATGAAACTAAATGCAGCCACCATATCTAACAACATTTTCAGTAAGATAAAATGGTGAGAAAATAACTATTCTTGGCAGAAATGTGTCATTGTCCCTTCATGTGAGCTGAAATAAAAGCACAGACTTTTTTTTGTTTATTGTGTAAACCTGGTCCCATGAAACTGGAAGTTAGGATCCTGATCATGTGACTGCTGACAAAGCCTGTCTGGTAGGAGCTGGTAGCTTGGGGTTAGGATCAGTCAAATGTGTAAATGACATAATAAAAATACTCTGCATGCTAAACGGTTATTCTTGATCAATTTCAGATTTCTAAGGTCTACATTAAGACTAGAAAACAGAACTATCCTGAGATTGAGAAGTGTCTCCCTTACAATCCTGCAGGCAAGTGTTTGTTAATTTTATGTTCACTTTTTAGGTTTACCCCTTGATGGGTTTTTCTAGGTTTACCCCTTGATGGGTTTTTCTAAAGCTTGTGGTGTAACTGCTAGAGAAGCTTTGTTTGAAGTTCTACCTTTTGGCTTTGAAAGTTGGGCTGGACAGACTGGGACTGACTAATGACTTACTGTGGTATGATTGTCCCTTGTCTAGGGAAGCCAGATGGTCTGTGATTTAAGTAATCTTGCAAATACTGCCTTGCTCAGTAATGAGTAACAGGAGGTTCTTGGTATAGCAGTCATATCTTGTATTTTTAATTCCTAGATTTTGAAACCTTTGATGTCCCAGAAGAGCACAAGCTGAGCCACCTTGACCTTTCTGGAGTTCCCCTTATTGTGCATGAACACAAAGCTTCAAAGGTTGATGCTTGGTTTGCCCATGAGCCAGCTCCAATGGATATTCCAGTCATTAGCTGGGAGTCAGGTTGGTTTCTAACCATAATAGGACTTCATACTCGTGCTCAATGTCCTGTGACCAGCTTTGCATCAGGGAACTAGAAATGCACATCAGGAGTTCTAGTTCAGAACATGTCAAACTAACAATTGGCTAGACTTCTAGTCAAGTGATGCAACTAGCCTTGCTCTTGGCTAAATTACGAATCGCACGGTTTAAGCCTCCACAGTGGAAGGATAACTGTACTTGGACTATGGTTAAGTAGGCAAAACAAGTCAAATGGTGCACATGCAGGTTTTTTGGCATTTTGCTTCCAAGTGTGTGGTTTTTTTTTCTTAGGCTCTGTATGCTAAGTGGATGTGTACTAAAAGGTGGGGGGATATACTAAGCTAGTCTATGTAAAGTTATTCTAGTGACAGTGCAGAGTCATAATGTTCATGGTTTTCCACGCCATACAGCCAGGTATTTGGAAGTGGGCTTCAGCCTAAGTGGGTTTTTTTTTTTGATTAAAAAAATTTACTCCAGTCTTTAGTAGGTATCTACTCACTCGTGGTCAACTTGCACGGCCAAGACTTAACATTGCATATACACTATTGCAAAAAGTATTGGGACACCTGCCTTTACACACACATGCACTTTAATAGCATCTCAGGCTTAGTCCGTAGGGTTCAATATTGAGTTGGCCCACCCTTGGCAGCTATAATAGCTTCAACTCTTCTGGGAAGGCTGTCCACAAGGTTTAGGAGTGTCTATGGGAATGTTTGACCATTCTTCCAGAAGCACATTTGTGAGGTCAGGCACTGATATTGGACAAGAAGGCCTGGCTCTCAGTCTCTTTAATCCCAAAGGTGTTCTATCGGGTTGAGGTCAGGACTTTGTGCAGTCCTGTGCATTGTGCACTTGTGCAGTAATGTTCCAACAGGAAGGGGCCATCCCCAAACCGTTCCCACAAAGTTGGGAGCATTACATTTGTCCAAAATGTCTTGGTATGCTGGTCCCTTAACAGTTCCCTTCACTGGAACTAAAGGGGGCCAAGCCCAACTCCTGGAAAAACAACCCTACACCATAATCTCCCCCCCAAACTTTACACTTGGCACAATGAAGTCAGGCAATTTTGTTCTCCTGGCTACCGCCAGACACATCCATCGGATTGCCAGACAGAAGCGTGATTCATCACTCCAGAGAACACGTCTCCACTTCTCTAGAGTCCAGTAGCGGCATGCTTTACACCACTGCATCTGACGCTTTGCATTGCACTTGGTAATGTAAGGCTTGGATGCAGATGCTCAGTCATGGAAACACATTCCATGAAGCTCTCTATGCACTGTCATTCCAATCTGAAGGCCACATGAGGTTTGGAGGTCTGTAGCTATGGACTCTGCAGACAGTTGGCAACTTCTGCACACTGTGCTTCAGCATGCGCTGACCGCTCTTGGTCATTTTACATGGCCTACCACTTTGTGGCTGAGTTGCTGTTTGCAGTTGCTTCCACTTTGTTTTAATACCACCAACAGTTAACCTTGGAATATTTAGTAGCAAGGAAATTTCACAGATGGACTTATTGCACAGGTGACAACCTAACATGATACACTTGCATTCACTGAGCTCCTGAGTGACCCATTGCCAATGTTTGTAGAAGCAGTCTGCATGCCTAGGTGCTTTGCTTTTATACAGCTGTGGGCATGGAGGTGATTGGAACACCTGAATCCAATGATTTGGAGGGGTGTCCCAATATGTTTGGAAATATACTGTATCTGAGGTTGTCTGCAGGGCAGCAGTGAAGATCCCTAAACTAGCCAAGGTAAGTTAGATGGGGTCAGAAGCATTGAGGGGTGGTTAAAGGCTGTGGATGACCATTTGTACTAAGTACAATTCTATTTTTATCTAATCTCCTCCTGGTGGTAATGCTCTTGCTCTGAACTTTGTATCAAAATAAACTTTCTTTTCCCCCAGATATTTCAAGCGCACTTGCATCTTTCCTGGCAGCCCTTGATGATTTTGCACTTGACCTGCCCCAGATGGTGAACTGTTGACATGGGTTTTAATTGTTCCTTGTTCCTTATTCTTTATGGCTTTTACTTTGTATGTACATAATTTTAAATAAATGTTGATGTTATAATCTAGAATGGCCTCTGTGTGAACATTTTAATGGTTGGGGTGCTTGCAGCTCTGCTTTTGACTCTGCCCCATGACAGTGGTTATGACTGCCTGACACTTTTGACTCTGCCTAGGACTGACAATTCCTAAGACCATTTTATGACTTGGCTGGCACTGCCTGTGAATCTGCCTAAAACACTGGCTCTGGCATGGACTCTGCCTATGACCTGCCAATGACACTGACCTATTTCTGGAACCATTTCTATGACAACTTGACTATGTCTAAGAATGAATTGCCTGTCTATAGCACGATGACCCTGCATCATAGCCAGTGATATTTAAAGGCAGGCTGTTCACTTTGCAAGGGAGTACCCCTTTGCACAGTGACACTTTAGCACATACACCAAGCCAAAATAGTTCGGGACCATTTAGACAACTGGGTAATGGCTATGAGGCAACTGTATGCCGGCTTGAGCTTTGAGGACCCTCCTAAAACACCCTTGGCATCAGCTAGTGCCAGGTGATGAGACTCAAATAAAACGAAGTGCATGCCTTTTTCCTTCTACTTCCCATCAAGATCTGGCTTGGCCACAGCAGCTACCTCCCAGCTTACACATAGGGGGTGGCAACCCAACCAAGCCACTTCAGGGACCAAACTAATGTCACTTCAGGCCCTAGATACTTTGGGCTAGACATGTGCAATTAATTTTGGGAAAGATTTGTTGTTCGGGTATATCCGAATCTCCAAATGACAGATAACGAATGTATACAAATCTGAATTTCCAATAACTAATTTCAGATGGAATTAGTGAGTGGTGGTATATGCAAATTTATGTTGTGGCAAAGTGACATTTTACAAATGTGTGTGTCCAAAGGGCCTCTCCCCCCCATAGTCACTCGCACTCCATGATATTAAAGTCAATGCTGTTTATTGACTGAGAACACACATCTCCTTAGCGATGTTTCGAGACCATGCGGTCCCGTCCTCAGGCAAACGGAGTGGGTCAAGCAACAAAATCAAACAAATACAGGTGAAACAAAATCAAACCACCAATCACAATGCAGTTAATACCTCCTCCTCTGACGTCCTAACGACTTGATTCACACCATGCTGCCCAGGTGCAATTAGCTATATGCTGAACACATGATACAGTTGCATACTGGTAAAATACCTTGTCCGTAGTGGTGATCTTGCATTGCCCGAGATCTACCTGCTTTTTTCCGATCCGTGTCATCCATGGATCCGAGTTGCATCCTGCTTGCTGCTCATGTCTAGGGGACAGGCTCTCATGGTGTACGTGCAGTGTGTTGTCTGCGCATATATATTACCAAAGGTCATTGTGCCGTCCGTCAGTCAATGAGTGTCAGGAACCCGGATCCGGTGACCGATCGGTTGCTAGGTAATCAGGCAACGCTTGTCACTTGCAGAAAATAAAAGTTTAAACATTTTTTATTAAACAATGCAGCGAAATATATGACATACAACTTCAATCTGATGCAACAAAAAATGTAACAACCGTCCTGGTACATTGTATCGAGCAACCAGAACGTTCACTCCATCTTATATACTCAGTGTTCCACTTAGCTAAAGATAGAAAAGCAAAAAAAATAAGGCAGGGGGGGATATATTTATACAGTGTCTTGCAGTATCATTGTACTCAGTGGTGTAGTTGAAGGGATACTATTCCAGTGTTTATGGAAGAACTTTGATTATATAGCAGGTCAAAGTTAAACTTCAACTATACCACAACTATCACGTACTTGCGAGATGACATCCCATGTGTGCAATGACGTCATGTCGGGATGTCACCCGGTACCCAGTCCGGCTGGCACCCCGCCTCGGGACACCCCTGCCCAGAGGCCCCAGTCTGATTTGAACAGCTCTTTGGGAGATCTCACCTTTACAGTTTGACACTCTGTTCTCCAAGCAGTAAAATAAAGATGAAGGGAAGCCTGCTCCGGGGTCTAGAAGATGTTGGATGTACGATTCCGGGTGGAGAGGAGATCTGACTGGTCCTGGACTCTGCTGGCGATCAAGGAGAAGACATCATTGTGGAAAGCAATGTGCAGGTCGGGCTGCATCACCCCGAGGAAAGCTACTGCAGTCAGCTCTTGTACTGAGCCATCAGGGAGTCCATACTCATTCTAGGAAAGACAATAGAGACTGCAGATCTTCAGGCATGTCACCAATGATATGTCAACACAAGCCAATTCAAGAGCAGATACACCCTAAATATTAGAGTGACCATTTGTCCCCCATTTCAAGGGACAGTCCCCGGATAAATTATGTCCCCGGCAATGTCCCCTGGAACATAAACTAAATGTAAAAAACATTTTTATACTCACCTGATTCCTGGATCCACTGACAAACACAACCTCCCATCTCTCATGCTGTCAGAAGATGCATACAGCGCGCGCCAGTTTAAATAGTAGCCGACACATGCTGTATGCAGCTTCTGACAGCGTGGGAGACGGGAGCCTGTGCTGGTCAGTGGATTCGAGGATTAGGTGAGTATAAAAAAAAATATTTTATTTTCCCGGGGACATTTCTGGGGGACATGATTTGGTGTAAACCAAATACACTGCATATATAATTTGAGGAAAATATGCTAATAAAATATTTTTTTTACCATTTGCCAATAACAAATTGTCACCGGATTTCATTTTAAAAATCTGGTCACCTTATTAAAATATAGTATGCTTGCAATTGATTGGAACAAATCATTTTAATTTTCCCACACTGTAAATGACAAAAGTTGAACCTTAGATTTGTTGCTATCGGCAACACCTACCTATACTTGTTCTTTACACTTGGAAGGGAACGTAGGGCCTAATACATGAAATGTCTACCAAAGATAAACACTCTTGTCGCCTAGAGCATCCAATCCATTTCTTTACCTGTTTCATAACCTGATTTGTAAAATAGGCAGCAGGGGGCACAGTGGATGCTACTGGCAACAAGCAACTTTTACTATTGACATGGTTTATGTGATAAGACCATAAAGTAGAAGGGATTCATAGGACTACAGAGGAATTATAGAGCAGAACAGAGCTTTACTGAGGGAAGAAGTTGAAGTAATTCCATGCAACCAGCAAGACAAGCAGCTCCCCAGAAACTGCACTGGCCCCACAGCACCAAATATATAAAGCACAATCCCAGAGAAGGAAATAAAGACACTATTTGATATATTTGTGAGAACTACCTTGTTCGCCAAAAGATGTATAATTCTGTTCAGTTTGGTGATGTAGACACTCCCATAGATAACACAGCCACCTCCTGGACGTCCATGGCAGTTAAAGGGCACACATCCAGCCTGCTGATTGGACAAGCTTCTGCAGTGCACTGGGGAGACCATTCCTTTGTGCCAGTCAACAGAGCCGACCTTTCCTCTTTCATCATTTGCAGGAATGACAGATATATAAAATAAACATACAAGGCTCAATTGGCAAAGCTTTAACACAAGGAGAAGTGTCTTTATTGTAGCGATGTGATCTTCAAATCTCATCCAACTCAACTGAAAATAAATGTCATGTCTTTGAAAATAAGTCTCCTGATTGTGGTTTGTTCACCTGGTGAATGGAGCTCACATTCCAGTATTTGCACTCGCTGCATTTATATCTAAATGTAATGATTTTAACTGCTTGCTGTCCGCCCGTTGTAAAAAAAACGGACGGATGGCAAACTCCCATTGGCGGGTTGCTGTAAATAAACTGCTTTTATCCCTGCTCGCGCGCGCCGCCTAGCGCACAGGCAGAAAAAAATGGTCCATTGCAAGCAGCTATTACCAGCTGCTTCACATACAAGCGATCGGCAGCTCTATAGCCGTCCGATCGCTTGTATGTGCTGCCTGCGCGCCCCCCCTCCAGCAGTGCCGCCATCTCGCTGTCCCCCCCTCCTTCACCCTCACCTTCAACCCCGGGATCCGTTGCCCCATCTGGTGCCCGGGATCAGCTAGGGAGGGTGTCAGGAGGAAGATAGGAGGGAGATTTTACTAGTAGCAATATGTTTCCTCAAGTACTCGCTGATACCAATTACTGATACCTTTTTTAGTATCATGTGACAGTTTTTTGAAAACAATACAGACTGATGATTTTAGGACAGTGGTGGAGCGCCAGGACCCGGATGCAGTTGCAACTGCTGTGACCCTGGTGGTTCTGCCACTGACTCCAAGCTGTAGAGGGACTACAAATCTCAGCAATACATTATACTGCAATGCAGAAAACCCCCAGCTATAGAGGACTACAAATCTCAGCAATACATTATACTGCAATGCAGAAAACCCCCAGCTATAGAGGACTACAAATCTCAGCAATACATTATATAGAAATGCAGCATATCATCAGATACAGAGGACTACAAATCGCAGCAATACATTTTTCAGAAATGCAGAATAATATGAAGCTTAATACTTTGTGTTGATCTGAGGTGGCGGCCTGATGTCTCCAGGGTCTCAGGAGAGTTGTGCAGGGTCTCAGGGCGGCTGTGTGGGATCTCAGAAGGGCTGTGCGGGGTCTTACGTGGGCTATGCAGGGTCTCAGAACGGCTGTCCAGAGTATCAAGTGGGCTGTGTGGGGTCCTAGGTGGGCTGGGTCTCAGAACGGCTCTGCAGGGTCTCATGGGCGCGTGCGGGTAACAGGTTTCCCCAGGAAGGAGGAGATGTTCACAGGAAGGCTGCTGGGTTCCCTAGCAAGCGCAGAACTTCTGGCAGCCTCTTTAGTCTAAAAATGTTAAAGCGCTGGTATTGGTGTATAGTATCGGGGCATTTTCACGAGTACGTGTACTGGTATTGCTATAGGTGCATCCCTACACATGGACCATACCAAAAAGGATGCTATTTGTCTCGCAGCCTTGCCTGCATACACACAGTGCTGTGCAAGGACAGTGCAAGGAGGTTGAGAACTGCCCTGTCTCCTAGAGACATGT